TTTTTTTTTTTTTTTTTTGTTGTATGCTGTACATCTATAATTAACATGTTAAATTTTTACATAATATATATTTATATAATTAGATTGTAATTGTGTCAGCTGCTATGGAGATTACTTGTTATACATCTTATAATGAAATCAGTATTAAAGTTTAACTAATTCTACTAAATCTGTGGAATTTGAAGTAAAGAATATATGTAATTTTATACTTTAGTAATAGAGGTTAAATTGAATGGTCATTTGCATCTCTGTGGTTATCCAACATATATTTAGTATTTAACAAGTTGGGAAGATATGTGTAAAACAGCAGGAAATCTGTATGAATTTGTACAATTTTATCCATATCTGGAGAAAGAGAAACTTGTGGAATGAAAAAAATCCATAGTAAGAAATTTAATATGCATTATGTGTGTAGTAAGAAATACTATTTTTAATGAACTGAAGGTAACAGCAGTACTGTTGCATTTAAATGAACTTAGGGTGAACCTTACTTGTATTTGAAAAAATATTTTTATTAACACGATAAAGTATTATAAGTTAAACCTAAAATGCTCATAAACATGCACAGTGAATATTTTGGGGAGCTGTTCCTTGTGTGGTTTCGAATTGAATCAACACTTAATTTTCATAGGCAGAAAACACTGAAGTAGACCAAAAGCACAAATTGTTGCTGGACTTGCCTCGGAGAGGACCAGATGCTTTTGAAAAATTTTTTGAAATCTTAGTAGAAACTGGACACTACAAAGCAGCATTGATTCTTGAACCAAATCTTGAAAATGCTCCTTCATCTAATGCACAGCTGTCAACATTTATCAATTTAGATGATGGACTGGATACAAGTGTAAACGGAATAGGTGAGATAAAGTAGCTACTGTAGGTTTTAACATGCTTATGGAAAAAATAAAGCTTTTGAGGTTATTATAATGATTCAAATTGCATGCTGTTACTAGTATTGCAAGACTAAAGAAAACAGTGAAATTCTGGATTTTAAACTGCAGTGAAAAAGGAATTAAAAAAAATACTGAAGTGTTTTGTGTAACAGAAACACATCCATATTGTGACAGTTTTAATTTCTATCATCCTATATCAGATACAATTTTGATAGTAAGTGTACTTATATTTCAATTAATAATTCCTTTTTTAAAGTCATTTTGTCAAACCATGTTATATACGTTTCAGTCAAGTGCATTGCTTGACATAATCATGAAACACTAGCAATATACGTCATCTAAAAACTATCAAAGTAATTGAAATAGTGTCATTATGTGTGTTTGTTGTTAAGCACAAAGCTACACAATCCTGCGACAATGGGATGTCTGTTCTCTGCCCACCACGAGTATCAAAACCCAATTTTTGTGTTTTCTTTAGCCATTTCATGAGAATAATTGATTAGTTAAATTTGATCAATTAATGAGCCTGATGATTAATCAGTTAGCAAATTCCATTAACCACCCAGCTTTAATACAAGTCTTAAATCTACAGTGCTTATCAAATTATGAAAGTTGATGTGATTTAAAGTAATTTAAACCAAATTTTTTCATTTATGTTCTTGGAATTATCACTAAAATAAGGAACTAAAAATAAGAACAGTGCTGTTTGGTTGTGGTGAATGTAAGATGTCTGTATAATCACACAATTGATGATCTAATGGTAACATTGAAATCAACTGGTGTTATAAGAGAGTACCATTACTTGAGGAGAGGTGATTTTAAGAAAGATGTAAAGTAGAAGCTAAAATTCACTTTCTTTTAGTGGTGGTGAGAGAGCCTTATTGTTTTGGATTTAAACTTATCCTTATGGGACTTAACCATCAAAAATTATACCTGAAAACATGACATTGATTTTTGAATTATTTGAAAATCACCCACAGAGTAGTTTGTTGCAACCCATTACACTTTATAGAGAACATTCCACTGCACAAGTAAAAATATTCTATGTCATCAATATGTTTAATACAAAAGTTTTATGATTATCTTAAGTTCATTATTTTCTGGGTTTTTTTAAGACGAAAGAGCACAAACAAAAGCTAGTGTTTGTAAAATAACCTGTGTATCAAGTATTTTACATAGTGGTTGATGTATGGGTACAACAACTAGAACAGTAGCAAAATACTTAGAATGTGTATAATTGCCAAGTAATGTAACATTTTTCATTCTGACAAGTGACAGATTTACATTACAGCTTCTCATTGATCTGAAAACAAAACACTGTGCAACGCAGCTACATTTCTTCAGTACATTGTGTTTAATGTGAAAATGAAGATTTGCTCCATTTTTGGCTTCCTACATGTTTAACATTCTTTTTGTTTCCTGACATCAGATGTATTATAGCATAATCATTATAATTTTAGAGTGGTGTATTGATAAAACTGAGCAATATGTGTGATTTAGCATTTTGATCATATGTTTCACACTGTCTGAAACAAAATTACATCCACAGTAAGAAATACAAATAAATACAATCATTGTGTGGATTAGAGTATATTTGTTGTACGATATGTTGTTTTTTATGACTGTTATTTAGTTAAGTACCTGTTTTATATATATATGTATGTGTGTGTGTACCTGAAACATTGAATGGTTCTTTCTCTGGTGAAGAATGTAAGGATAATATTACAAAAACATTATAGAAATATTTTTCCTTCAATAATTTGTTTTGATAATTTTGGATTCACCAAAAGTTGAGGTTGAAAAATTTATGAATTGGAAATCATAGCTGTTTCCTTTATATATAGGCCATACCCAGTCAGATAACCAAGGAATTAATCAACTACGAGTAATACCTGCCACCAAATGGAGGGAAGATTCTGATGTAAGTCTGTGTGTTATTTTAAAGAATTCACCTATGAGTTGGTATGCATGTACTAGGAATTTGACACAGGATGTAAAACCAGTAATTGCTGTACTAATAATAAAATTAACTGTTTCCCTTATTCCTACCAGCTACAGAAAGGAAAAACAGCATAATATTTGTGCTTTTCATTTTTTCTGAGCATACAGATTTATTTAATGGTCAGGCTAAATTATGTAAATATAACACAAATAGTGAATAATGTTGCTGGAAATATTTTAACATCAGTTTTAACCAGTTTGAGCATTGTCGTCCATTGCTGTATACAAATATTTAATATGAATGCTCTCTATACTATTTTTTTAGCTTTCAGTTGGTAAGCCTTTGATTTCTAGTATATGTTATTTAGTTATTTAATTAGCAAGTGGAGTTTAGTCCCCTATAGGCTTATCTCATAAATTACAAATCCTTAAAATGTGTATTTTTCATTGCTATTTTATAGTATTTAATAATGATAACTATACACCATCTTACAGAGAATTAAACTTGATTCTAATTAGTTTTTATTAATTTTGCATAAGCATGTAATTAAATTTATGTAATTGTTAGCATAATTGGTTTAGATCTTGCCAACTGTCACAGCAAGATAATTTTGATCCACTTTAGGCTTGGTTCATAAATCACAAGTTCCTAAAACATATTTATATGTGTGTGTCTGTCTGTCTATATAATATGCTTTTCTTTTCTAAAGCCACATATTTTTTAACTAAACTTTTATTTCCTTAAATTTAATGTATTTCTTACATTAAAAAAAATAATAATCAAGGTCATCAGAGTTTCATTTGCATTATTGTTATGTAGTGTCTGACAAAAACGTGTAACTGAAGAATGGAACTAACTAGTATTTTTGAGGGATGCACGGGTGGTAAAATTTGGCTGGAGTCAGGTGTCAACCGTGACCAGGTTCTCCCCTTGCCTCACCCCCCAAAAAAACAACTTACACAAAAAATTAGAAACAAAAACAAAATTGACATTTATTACATTTAACTAAATAATCACCAACAGAACATTCAAGTTTTACTTTCAATTTTCAATGCCTAGCCCCAACTTCTCAAACCCTAACCCCTATTGTTCTCCAAACCCCCACCTTCCCCAAAAATCCACTTCTCAAGCCATGCCTGTTACTAACACCTATTATTCTCTGAATCCCTGACTTTCAGCAGGTAGGCAGTTTTTGTTGCTAGGAACATGTTTTTTTACAACTAAACCAATTATTGACTATAACTTTCAGTACCGTGTTAGTTACCACAAAGATTAGGGCTTAGATGCCTAACTTCGACACTTGGCTGGTGCCGAGTATTACTAGATAGCCTGGTACCTCTGAATCACTAGTATTTTAAAAAAAAGTTAAAATCAATAGTAATAGAGGACAATGTGAAAATGTGCCATATTATTTGCTCATGGATACTTATGTTTAAGATGTTAAAAGTATGATCAAGATATAAATGAAAGTGTAGCTCATTCACTTTTGTAAACCTTAAATTTCATTATTGTCTAGTGCTATAAAATGTCTTCATGCCCACGAGGATACTGTTTAATTATTAACAATGTTGACTTCCAAAAACTAATGGATGAAAGGTATGGATCTGAAGGAGATGCAAGAAAACTTAATATGGTGTTCCATGAGCTTGGTTTTGAAGTGACTTTAAAAACAGATCAGACATCTCAGGTGAGAGAACTAAAGAATTAGTGTTTTTTTTGTTTTTTTATGCATAAAAAAATAAACATGAATTTTGAGACTAAAATATTCTATTTTAGTAACTTGGTCATAAGTTATATGGATTTGTTAACTTTAATTGATTACAACACACATTGCAGTATGCTGAAGTGAAGACTACTTTAAAAATATAAATTATTCATAAACATACAAAAGTTGATGAGAACAGCAAGCAAAGATAATTAATGTGGAAAATAAACTTTACTGTTGTGATCAATACTGAATTAGTCTATAAATGTTTATTAAGATTACATTTATTGTAATTTTCTTTCATATTTCTTGATATATATTCATAGTTGATGATTTTGATAGTATACTGTTAGTTTATGTACAGGTATTTTCTGATTCTTGATACAGCAAATGATTGATGTCATCGAAGCATTCTCAAAAAAGCCAGAACATGAACACGTAAATTCCTGTGTAGTGATCATATTGAGTCATGGAGAATATGATATTGTTTATGGTACAGATGCAGAAGAGGTTCAAGTAGAGAAAATACTTGATTATTTTAACAATGAAAGTTGCCCATTACTGCAGGGGAAACCTAAGATGTTTTTCTTCCAAGCATGTCGTGGAAGTAAGTATGTATATTTTGGATGGTTGCTGAAAACTAAATTGGATTCTTGAATGTTTTCTGCCTTGTTTGAATATACGCAACTCTTGCATTGATGAGAATTTTTTAAAAGAAATTCAAGTTTTGTATTTTTACATAAATTGGTTAGTTGCTGATGGAATTTAAGCCTATATTTTTAAATGATGATACTTGCACGAAATAATTTTATTTACTTCCATAATGAACCAAAGAACACAGAATAATAACACACAAATCAAACAATGACCTATAACTATTTATAACTTATCTGGCTTTCTAACTGAGACATGAGGAGCTTAAGGTAATTCCCTTTGCTGCTCTTTCTGAATACTACGAGAGAAACTTTCAAACTGAAAACGAAACAGACAATACTCTGTACTGAAAACAATATAATATGTTATGTGATAGATTAAAACTTTCCCTATTTAGTTCTTACATCAGAGAAAATTATTAACAGTATCTCAAAGAGATGATATAACAGGTGGGTTTGTCAAGTGGATCTGACTTTCTAGTTTGTGTCTCCATAAACAAATAAGATTGAAGGCTATAAACCCCTCAAGGTACGTGGTGAGGGGACCTCGCAGGGAAGGTTCTGTATTTTCAGCCAACCTCCTCTGGGATCTAAACATTCACCCACATGTTTATCATGCGTGGTGACCCATGAAAGGGAGGAGAGGATCCTGGTGATTGAGAGGTGTCACTAAATGGTCAATTTAGGTCAGTGGCACTTTAATGCACCACCTTGGCCTTGAATTCCTGTAGATGGGTGGCCTTGTGGTGACTCACCCAGGGTCAATCAGCTGATCTAATTGGGCTAGGGTCAACCAAGCACCAGTGTTAGAAGTTCTCAGTGGGTGTTGTGGACATTATTTCTAATACTGGTGTTTGGGTATAATGCCAACGAGACCCTGGCATCTCTACAATGCTCGGCTTTAGTATTGTAGTGCGTCCCCTTGTAGGACTCCATGGTGAGTGTGGTCAATGGGCACTGAAGTTTTTCCTTTCTATGGATTCTCAACCCAGTGACTTGCAAAAAAAAAAATCTTGTTGATTGGAATGCGAACACGATTGGAAGACTGATCTCCAATCCCCACCTCCTACTGTTCCTGTATCCCATTTTCTCATCCTTCATTCTTTGATTGAGAAATCATTAGGACAAATGTCTCCCTTTTTTATTAAGAAAGGTTTAGAGAGATTTGCTGTTCATTCTATCCCTAAAACCTCGTCATGTTTTCCATGGTGGTCTCCTGCCTTCCAGAAGGCTCAGACACGGGCCTGGAATGCCTTTTGCACAATATCCCACTTTTTCCAACTGCATTGCTTTCCAGTGGACCCATGCTCATGATCGGCAGGCCAGATGTCAAAGCCAGAAAGAATCTTGGATTAAGTTCACCTCCAGCATCTCTTCTACCACCAGTTCCAAAGTCATCTGGGAAAAGATTCAGAAGGTCAATGGGAAGTATGCTTCCCATCACCTTTCCATTTTGCTCTTCAATGGCTAGGAAGTTGCTGATGTACAGAGCATACCCATTACTCTCAAGGAGAGCATTGTTTATCTCTCCAGCACTTCTGTTTCTTCCCCTGCCTTTTGGCCATCAAGTCTTGGGCAGAGCAATCACCTCTTTCCTTTTGGGCTAATCGTCTGACTATTATCACCCATTTACACTGGTGGAACTTAAGATTGCTCTTCATTGGTCTGGCATTTCATCAGTTGGTCCCATTAACAGTTGCTATGAGATGTTGCACCATGTCTATCCAGCCTCTTTTGCCCTTCTTCTAGTTGTTTTTAACCAGATTTGGCAGGAGAATGTTTTTCTGATACATGATGTAAGACTGTTGTTCTACTTTTTTGAAAGCCTGGAAAGGATCCCAAGATTCTTTCTAATTACACAGGCCTGCAATGGTTTTACTGTGTTGAAATGTTTACATGTTCTACAATAATTTCTGTACACTGAATCCAAAAATGATATCCATTTTTCTCCATCACATACAGATTTTTCACAAAATGTCATAATGCAATACATAAAAGAAAGACCATGAAACATAATTTTGAGACTAATAGACGCAGATTTCACACACACAAAAAATTTGAATCAATGAGGATGTATATTCGTTTGACATCAATGTTCTTTCCTTTTCTTCAGTTTGTTTGTATTTTTTAGTATACATAATAAAAAATGTTCATTGTGGTTAATAATAATTTGATTGAAGTAAGAGTGTTTTTTATTCTCAATTTGTAAGAATTCCTTACATGATAGATAAAAATTAATATTATTTTCTGTGCACAGGAATTATGGTATATGCATTATTAAAACCAAAACAACTTTTCCAAAGTTTAAATTTGCAGGCTTGTGTTAATGTCCAATTGCTTTTACTAACTGTCTCTGTAAGTTTTTGGAGAGGATGGTTAATGCTCGTCTAGTTTGGTTCCTTGAATCAAACAACCTCTTCTCATCCACCCAATGTAGGTTCCATCATCAGTGCTCCTCCATGGACCGCCTGATTCGACTTTGAACCTTGATCAGAGAAGCCTTCCTCAAGAGAGAACATCTTGTGTCCATTTTCTTTGATCTTCAGAAGGCCTATGATACCACGTGGAGGTTTGACATTTTGCTGGATCTCCACTCCTATAGGTTGCATGGCCATTTTTCCATTTTTATTCATACCTATTTTTGGACCCTTCCCTGTTTGTTCTTTCACACAGGAACTTCCACATCTCAAGTTGGTTATCAAACATGAGCTTTATTGAGCAGCAGCTTCAGACTGCCCACACATGCTTATTGCAGTGGACCATAGCAAATGCTTTCACCTTTTCCTCATCTAAAACTGTTTGCATGCACTTTTGCCACCAGTAGGGTTTGCATCCTGATCTTGAGCTCCGTCTCAGTAGAGATGTTTTTTTCCTGGTGGCTAAAACAAAGTTCTTGGGACTTGTATTTGACTGCAAACTGACTTTTATTCATGATGTTAAGTAGCTTCGTGTTAAGTGTATAGGGGCTCTGTGTCCTCTCTTCCACTTCTTGGGGAGCTGATCGATGTTATATGCTCAAGATCTATTGTGCCCTCAGTCAATCCAAGCTAGACTATGGGTCTATGGATCAGCCAGGGCCTCTACCTTTAAGATGTTGGACCCTATTCACCATCTCTGGCTTCGGCTCTGTTTGGGGTTGTCAGCACTTCACTAGTCCAGAGTATGTATATTGATTGAGTCCCACGAATCTCATCTTCACCTCCTCTGTTTGCAATATTCTTTACAAGATGCTACTAAGCTTCATTCCTTACCACAGCATCCCACCTAGGATTGTGTCATTCTTCCTCAGTGGGCTATGCTCTTTCGGAATAGACAGTCTTCCATTTCTCCTTTTGATGTTCATGTCCAGGCACAGCTTGGTGAATTGGGTCTGTCATTGGATGATGTTACTCAATGATCAGCCCATCTCTCCATGAATCATTACCATCATTACCAGGCTGACGAAGGCAGATACTCCTGATTGGAAGTACTGTCTTCTCTTTGCTGAACATCTTTTGAACCATTCTTCTGTTCCTGTTTTTATGGCTGGTTCAAAATTAGGTGACTTTGTGGCTCAGTGGTTGCTCACAGGATCTCCTTTCTGTGTTAACTGCTGAGTTGTATGATCTTTCTCTTGCCTTGAATCACATAGAAGCTAAGCAGTACACTGACTGTACTATTTACACTGACTACACTGACTCTCTTGGTTGTCTACTGGCCCTGGAATTGCTTAATGCTAGGTCTCACTCTGTTCTCATTGAAAAATGACTTCCCCATTTTTCTCTGTCTTTCATTTCTATCCAGTTTTTCTGGATACCTGGCCATGTTGGTATTCGCAGGAATGAGCTAGCTGACACTGCAGCTAAGTCCGTCTGCTCTGTCACTGTCTTGCCTGTTTCATTTATGGACTATGGTCCTGTGATCAAGGCACAGCTTTGTGGCAGTTAGCATTTCCAGATTAAACGTACTGTTGTTCTTTGGCCATCTAGTTTCTGTAAGGATTGGAGGGAGGAAGTTGTCTTGGCTAGGCTACTCATTAGTCACAGTTTTTTAAGTCATCATTTTCCTTTATTTGGGACTAATCCACCAATTTATGGCCTTTTTGACACTCAAGTCACAATAGCCCATGTTTTACTTTCGTGCTGTAGTTGCTACTGTGAGTGGTGGCACCATCTTCAGCATGTACTTACTGTAGGCGACCTGATAATGGATTTATCTGCTTTTATATGCCGGGAGATCGACATGACATGGGACAACCCTTGTCCCCGGACATCGCCCAGGCTGATCTTGTGTTGACTGACAAGGACTTAGATTGTCTTTGTCCACCTCCAGATTTTGCCATCCCTTCCTATTCCCAACCCAATGAGTCTACTAGGCCTAATGTGATCTTTATGGATTTTGTGTCTCAGGTTTATGACTTTTTATCCCTTTCCCTATTTCTTATTCACCTCGTCCTTCCTTACTGCATGAACAATCTTCCAAGCCCTCTTTGGTTTTTCTTCCCTCAACTGATATTCGGGTTCATACTGATCACTTTGTCTCTCAATTAAGTGAAAGGATCAGCATGACATGCCCCCCGTGGACTTCAGATCAGTTTGCTCGTTCCTACCATCGTGCTTACTATCCATTTTTAGACCAGCAGTTGTTAAGTTTCTTATTGCCTAGTTTGGGGGGGGGGGGCTTCCGAGTCATCTATCAGTCTTACCCATGCCCAATGTTCTTGCTTACACCTCCTATCTGAAGGTCTCCACAGAATTCCTTTTCTGAAGATACCCTTGCCCTTCTCTCCCCACTTTAGCCCACATTTCATCTTCGGCTCTGGCATTACATACATAGCTTTTTTGTTGTTGGGACATTATATATCATGATACCATATTGGCTCAGGTCTGTTTACCCTCGACATATCTTAGGAATTTATGTATGGCATCATTTCTGAGGCATTACATTTTTGATATGGTCCCCAAAATTCTAGAGC